GAATGCTCCAAGAAATGGTGGCTTATTTTGGCCCTGGGGACACACGCCGATCCCACACTCAGCACTTTGTCCCATCGGGCAGTTTTGCCACATGAGAGTGTGGCCTCTGATTCATCTGAGATGCAGCCAAATGCCAGTTTGTAGCTGCATATTCATTTCCTCATAATGTTTGCTTTTATCACAGGGCTTCTGCCACAGACTCTCAGAGCACAGCCTGTCCCCTACAAGTCACTGTCAGCCACCTGTCCCTTCAGTAAGCTCCACACTCAGCCCTGATAGTGAGTGGAAGGGTTCACGGGGCAGCTGCGCTGTCACTGCTGAGAGTGCTGGGGAAATTAACTGAGAATCAAATATTTGCTTACTCCAGACAGGTTTATCCCAATGAAAAGGAATAATTATTTGCCCTTTGGGGCCAGTCAGAGATTTCAAGGTCTTGACATGTAAATAAATCAAGTTACAGAAGAGTCTTTCTGGGTTTTGGTGTGGTACCACAGCTCTTTCCAACTATTGGGTTGTCGGAAAAGTCATGACACGTTTTTGCAACGAAACAGAAAAAATACGTCATGACTTCTCTGACAACCCAATAAAAGCAGGTCTTGGCAGGTAGTCACCTCCTGGGCCTGTAGCTTCCTTGACAAAGGTCAGTCTTTAACTTAAGTGAGTCTGTCTACTGTCTTTTGGTACCTAAGATAACATACCCTTGGAATGTCAGAGTCATCTCCTTTTCCGGACCCCCCAGGGCAGGGCCTCCCATCAGAGCACAGACCACAGAAGCCCTCATTGTTATCTTGTTCACTGAACACCATCTCTATGTGCTGTAAATGTTAATTATTAACTATCCTGCACCCACCTAAAGAAGTGTTTCTCCCTTTTACTTTTTATCCAGTACCAGAGATTTCCCAGTTTTGCTGTCTCTCGCCCGCTTAATCTACCACAAATGGATTCCATGTAACCCTCCAATATCTCCTCCTCTTTTTATGCTAATGTATAAAATGAGCTACAAAGCCGCCATTCTCCAGAGCATTTTTTTCAATCCATTTAGATTTTGCTTCCTGGCAATTATCGTCAGTTTGGCTCAAATAAACTTATAAAAATTCTCTATAGGTTTGGATGTTTCTCACGTCAACTGTCCTCAGACAACACCAACAAAACACCTAATCAAAACAATTTAAAAATGGGTAGAGGACCTGAGTAGACATTTCTCCAAAAAGGACATACAGATGGCCAACAGGGAAGATGCTCAGCATCAGTAATCATAAGGAAAATGTAAATCAGAATGGCCATCATCAAAAAGTCCACAAATAACAAATGTTGGCGAGGATATGGAGAAAAAAACCCTTGTGCAGTGTTGAGGGGACTGCAGATTGGTGCAGCCACTATGGAAAGCAGTATGGAGGTATCTCAAAAAACTAAAAGTAGAATTACCATATGACCCAGCAATTCCACTCCTGGGTATTTATCTGAAGAAAACTAAAACACTACTTTGAAAAGATACAGTATTCTTTCCCATGTTCATTACATCATTGTTTACAACAGCCAAGGTATGGAAACAACCTGTGTCCATTCAAAGATGAATGGATCAAGGTGTGGTGTGTATATACACAATGGAGTATTACTTGGCTACAAAAAAGAATGAAATCTTGACATTTCCAACAACATGGTTGGACCTAGAGGGTATTATACTCAGTGAAATGATCCAGACTTAGACCAATACCATATGATCTCACTTATATGTGGAATCTAAAAAAACAAAGTACATAAATAAACAAAACAGAAACAGACCCACAGATATAGAGAACAAGCTGATGGTTGCCAAAGGGGAAGGGGGTAAAAGGATGGGTGAAAATAAAAATAAATAGGATATAAAGGCATAAATGCATAAGAATATGGGTAGAACCATGTTTTAAAAATTACAGAAACAACAGTAATAAGGCATTGAAGAGAAGGCATTCTCTTCCCTAGGATTCAGGCTGAAAAATAAAATAATAATAACAAAATAAAATAAAATTGAGACATTTTAGTATCTGCTCGGGAGACCCTTAGCTATTTGAGCTACTCAATGATCTCAGTTGTAAAAGATTTTATAGTAGCCAGGAAATCTCTCTGAATATTTAATCAACAAAAACTCAAGTGTTGAAATGATGCAAATTAGCTGTTACATTAGTTTCATTAATTGGACTCTAATCGGCTTTTCTAAACCATTTTCCAAAGCAGAAAAGATGTCAGAAGCTTAAGTAGAAATTTCTCACTTCAAAGGAAATATTGTAACACAGAACCTCAGGAAAACAGTAACGTAAACTTATTCTTAAAATAAATACTCTAAAATATTCTTAAAACCTTAGGAAAAAAATTAACAAACTTGAAAATGAATCTGAAAAACTTACATAATGTGTGATTTTAACTGTATGATTCTGGAAAAGGCGTAACTAGGGAGACTAGTAAAACGCCTGGTGGTTGCCAGGGGTTAGGGGTGAGGGAGGGTTGAATAGGGGGAGCACAGGACGTTTAGGGCACTCGGTATGATGCAGCGGTAAAGACATGTCATGAGACATGTGTCCAAATCCACAGTGTACACCACCCACAGTGACCCTAATGTCAACTATGGACCTTGGGTGACAATCACAAGTGAGTGTAGGTTCAACTGTAACACATGTGCACGTGGGGAGCAGAGAGTATATGGGAAATCACTGTGCCTTTGGCCCTATTTTGCTGTAAACTCTAAAAAAAATAAACTATGTTTAAAAAACAAAACTGCAAAAGAAACAAGGTAAACATGACGCCATAGCTTTCACTCTGAATCCTGGCTTCCTGGAAGTTCATGTCACCAAGCAGTCAGTCCTCTGTCCTGTAAATCTGCCCAGTCACGACACATGAACAGACTTGTGCAAATCCCGTCAACTTTTCCATTTTGAAATAGTGCCCGAAGTCAAACAATGGAAGTCCTTCTGCCGTAATCAGTCAATAATCATAAAGCCTCATTGTAGTTTGACTCCCGTGCTATAAGGATAAATTCAGATGACCCTAACTCTGTGAAAATCAAAAGCTTTATTTTTTTAAAGAGGCTTATTTAAAGTTAAAATGCAAACAAAAGCCTCAGAAATAAAGTTTGTGTGTTTTTCTTTATTTACTGGAAGATATAGAAACTGTTCAAGCAGATGATTCTTATTCTCTGTATGCTTATAAAAGCCAATTATCGAATACTATGTTTTCACTCATTAGGGGTAGGCTGGGCTCTGCTGTGGTAAAAAACAAACAAACAAACAAAAGAACAATCTCAGGGACTTAGCAAGTTTATTTTCTGATCATGCAGAGTGCACTGAGGGTCCAGCTGACCTCCATGTGGTCAGCTTGGCAATCAAGGCCACTCTGATCTTGACTTCAGCTGAGGCCTCCCCTCCCATACCATAGCAAAGGAAATGGGTTTGTCACTGGGAACGACACACACTGCTTCCACTCCTGTTTAACTGGTCAGGACTAGCCATTCCTACCCACCAATGAGCTGGGAAGTTTAATTTTCTTTATGCCTGGACCGATGTAGGTGACCACTAATAATGTCACCAAAATCCTTGTATCTGCATGAAATCAAGGCCGAATGTAGAATGCCAACTCTTAACTCATTCAGATTACAATTAAAACAAAGTCCCTATCGGGCCGGCCGAGTGGCTCAGTTGGTTAAGAGCTCGCTCAAGAGTTTGAGCTCTGAGCAACAGCGGTTCGAGTCCAGCCCGAGCTGAGCAGCCGCTG